GAAGAAGACAAGAAATATGATGTGATGATTCAATCAGTAAAAAGTGGAAAAGTTCTATATGCAAAATCATTTAAAATATGTAAGTAGGACAACATATACAGTCCTCGACTTGCAACATTTCATTTAGTGACCATTCAGAGTTACAATAGCACTGAAAAAAATTACTTATGACAGGTTTTCACACCTAGGACCATTGTGGCTTCCCTATGATCCCATGATTAAAATTCTGATGCTTGGCAACTGATTCATATTTATGAAGGCTGCAGTGTCGCACGATCATGTGATCCCCTTTTATGTTCTTCTGAGAAGCAAAGTCAATGGGGGAAGCCAGATTCACTCAACTGTCATGTAACTAACTTAACAACCACAGAGATTCATTTAACTGTGGCTGGAAAGATCATAAAATAGGGCAAAATTCACTTAACAACTTTCTTGATTATCAACAGCAATTTTGGATTCAATTGTATCATAAGTCAAGGACTACCTATACTCCATATAAACTTCCCACACATTAAGTTTGTATTAAAATTAATATGAAAACATAATATGATACAAATATTACTTATTACCGCTTTGGCATTTTGTTGATCAAAATTTTACATTTGCTTTTTGGTAATCTCATACAGTACAAATTTAGGGGTGACATTAAATTTTGATTCATATAATTGACAAATCAGATCAGATCACAATTGTTTTTTTTTGAATTAATATTGATCACAGGGCATGTGTGAACTTCAGAGAGTAATTCATAGCTTGTCCCTTTGTTTGTTTGTTTATCTTATTTATGTGCCAGCCACCTCACAAAAAATGTGATTGTCATGAATGGATTATGGGGCTGCCTTTAAAGACCACTCAGAAAGTATCACTGTTCTAGAAGTTATGATGTGGGCAGTGATGGGTATGCTGTGATGTGCTATGCAGTGCCACTACTGGTTCCAGGTGCAATGCCACGGGCTGGTTACCAACTATAAAGCTTTTCATGGCATATGGCCTGTTTATTTGAAGTTTGCCAAAATAAGCAATAGTTTCTGCCTGGTTTAATGAGACTGGGCAGTGGCTATGCTTCATGCTCCTTCCATGAAACAGTGTCAACCATGAGAATTTAGAAAGTATACTTCTTCGTTGCAGTGCCTGCCATCAGAAACAGAGATTCATATAGCAAAAACTCTGATGATATTTGGAAAGTCACTGAAAATTTGGCTACTCTCCCAGGCTTTAGGGCAGGATAGTGATCAAAGTCTTATAGTGTGTTTGGTTTGTTATAGAAAAATTGCCTTCTGGATTTGTATGTATTTGTACTTGCTTTCTTAGCTGCTTACGTTGAGCACCTGTAAACTGCATTAAATTAAAAAAAAATATATATATAATCAAGTTGTTCATTTAGAATAACTTAATCAAACTTACTCTCCAAACTGAATTAATTTAGTTCAAATATTTGATTTGATTTAATGTTATAGTCTGAACTGGACCAATCTAAACCAGATGGGAGCTGATCTGTATATCATTGATATACACTATCCTCCTTTGTAAAATTTATTTTTCAGAATTGATGACTGTCATAATGTTCATTCCAACACAGTAATCCCCTTTAGCTGCCATTAGTATCAAATCATTTTGCACACATTGCTATTTGGAGCAAAGAATTAAACGTGCCTGCATTTTCAAAAATGCTTTTCACTTTCTCAACTTTAGATTGTTTTACATACTGTATAAAATGCAAATACACACATAAATACAGTTGCGCTGAACTGAAATAATTTTCAGTTTATTTGTTGACCACATTTCTATTTTGCTATTATCCATAGTGTCCATTTAAGAGTCTGATTCAAAATAATTTATCTTAATGTAAATAATCTAATATATAATTTGATTTTCTCTATGCCTATTATAGATGGAATTCCAGAAAGTAGTGTCAAAACTCGTGTAACAACTACAAGTGTGTTGTTCAACTGGAATATGCTGGTTCATGATTTTTCTATAGGAATTTTCCATAAAAACATTTCTTATATATTTAAAAATAAAGAACGAGTTTATGAATGGACTGATCTGAGACCTGCAACGTTGCACACATTTTCTCTTCAATTTAAGCAACTTGACTTAGAATTTATTAATGTATATCAGATACTGGATTTTGAAATTGAAACAGGTCAGTATTATAATTAATGCATTATTGTCACTTTTCTCAATGAATATCAATATAGTTCTGCATTTAACCATGACCACTTTTCCGCTCTTATTGCATCGGCAGATAACTGCCCAGCCGCCTTGTTTAGGGTGACTCGCTCCCTCCTACATCAGGGAGCGCGGGAAGATCCCTTGCAAGGGCAGGCTGAGGATTTTGCACAGTATCTGCATGATAAAATCGCTCAGATTCGGGAAGGCTTGGACTCTGACTGGGTAGATCCTGGCGGGGTGACTGAGGCTGGTCTTGAGAATGTTACCTGGGATGAGTTCGACCCTGTGACTCCTGAGGATGTGGACAGGATCCTGGGGAGGTTAAACGCAACCACATGTTTATTGGACCTGTGCCCCTCCTGGCTGGTACTGGCCACCCGGGAGGTAACACGAGGCTGGCTCCAGAGGATTATAAATGCTTCTCTGAGAGCGGGTTTCTTGCCTCCCGCCTTGAAAGAGGCGGTGGTGAGGCCTCTCCTCAAGAAGCCTTCTCTAGACCCGGCCGTTTTGGCAAACTACGGTCCGGTTTCCAACCTTCGCTTTGTTGCGAAGGTTGTGGAGAGTGTGGTTGCGCAACAGCTCCCACAGTTCCTGGATGAAACCGTCTATCTAGATCCGTGCCAGTCTGGCTTCAGGCCTGGGTACAGCACGGAGACGGCATTGGTCGCATTGGTGGATGATCTCTGGAGGGCTCGGGACAGGGGTTGTTCTTCTGTTCTGGTCCTGTTAGACCTCTCAGCGGCTTTTGATACCATCGACCATGGTATCATGCTGCGCCGGCTGGAGGGATTGGGGGTGGGAGGCACCGTGCTGCGGTGGTTCTCCTCCTATCTCTCTGACCGGTCGCAGTCTGTTGGCAGGGGGGCAGAGGTCGACCTCGAGGTGCCTTGCTTGCGGGGTGCCGCAAGGGTTGGTCCTCTCGCCGCTGCTGTTCAACATTTATGTGAAGCCGCTGGGTGAGATCATCCGTGGTTTTGGGGTGCGATGCCATCTGTACGCTGATGACACTCAGCTGTACATTTCCACCCCAGACCACCCCAATGATTCCCTCGAAGTGATGTCCCAGTGTCTGGAGGCCGTGCGGGTCTGGATGGGGAGGAACAGGCTTTGGCTCAACCCTTCCAAGACCGAGTGGCTGTGGATGCCGGCGTCCCAGTATAGCCAGCTGGTGCCATCGCTGGCTATTGGGGGCGAGTCACTGACCCCCACAGAGGGGGCTCGCAACTTGGGTGTCCTCCTGGACACACGGCTGTCTTTAGAAGAGCATATGATGGCCGTGGCCAGGGGGGCTTTTTATAAGGTTCGCCTGATACGCCAGTTGCGCCCCTTTCTGGATTGGGACTCCTTGTGCACAGTCACTCATGCCTTGGTTACGTCACGCCTGGACTACTGTAACGCTCTCTACATGGGGCTCCCCCTGAGGAGCACCCGGAGGCTCCAGCTGGTGCAGAATGCGGCCGCACGGGTGATTATGGGAGCGACATGGCGCTCCCACGTAACACCTCTCCTGCGCGAGCTGCATTGGCTCCCGGTGGTCTTCCGGGTGCGCTTTAAGGTGTTGGTTCTCATCTTTAAAGCGCTCCATGGCTTAGGGCCAGGGTATTTGCGAGACTGCCTGCTGCTACCGATAACCTCCCACCGGCCAATACGCTCTCACAGAGAGGGCCTCCTCGGGGTGCCGTTGGTCAGGCAATGTCAGCTGGCGGCCCCCAGGGGGCAAGCCTTCTCTGTGGGGGCACCCGCCCTGTGGAATGAGCTGCCTCCTGGAATATGATTGATCCCGGACCTCCGGACCTTCCGTAAAGCCCTGAAGACATTTTTATTTCATCAAGACGGCCTAGCCTAAATGGTTTTTAATTGGGATTTTAAATTTTATGGATTTGGGGTTTTAAATTGGGTAGCCAGTGATTTAATTCTTTTAATTATCTTAACTTTTGCATTTGTATGTTTTTTAATTTTGGCTGTTCACCGCCCTGAGTCCCTTCTGGGAGAAGGGCGGTATACAAATTAAATTAATAAATAATAAATAAATAAATAAATGACCATTGTCTGATTAAGAACATGTAAGCTTTGTTTTTGTTTTTTAAAAAAGTTCCTTTAAAGAAATATAGGGAGTAAATATAACTAGTGAACATAATAGCGAAATGTTCCCAATTCATTGCATAATTAAAAGCCTTTGCTAAATGTACATTTCCAGATGTAAATTCGTATTGAAATAGGAGGCAAGTCTTGTGCTATTTAGTGAGAATAACAATATATAACTTTACTGAATTATGAATTATAATGAAAATATACTACTTATTGCAGTTTGCTTCAATTAAAGAAGTTATACATAATTGTATTTAAATTTTCCTGAAATTATTTTTGGAACAATGGTGATAAATATATGCATTACCTTACTGAAATCTGAACCCTAATAGTTTATTTACTGAAAGATTTGATTGTTTCGAAAATGGCAGAATTACACTGAAATATATATTTAAAAATAGATGGAAAAGAAACATACATATACACAATTTTACATTAATTATTTATATCTATAGCATCAACTGTGGAGTAAGTATAGGAAATAACATGTGGATACAACATTGATTATTACATAGCAAACAATGCAGTCATTTTGGACAAACCTGTAGGAAATCATACAAATACCTGGTGCTCATGTTGTTTTTATGAATTTCATGGATGCAAAAAAGTGTACCTCATTCCCATTTTTATCTTATTTGAAATATGATTTTTCTTAAATTTTGAAAGTTTTATCTTATCATTCATGTGCTTATTGGAAAAAGCATGGAATTAAATATTCCTTATTAGGTTTGTGTTCAGATGGTTGGACAGCTTTCAAACAGAGTTGCTATAAAGTTAATACAGACAGCAAACCTTGGAATATGGCACAACATCAGTGTGGATTGTTTTCAACTGGGGCACATCTTGTTGATATTAGAAACAAAGAAGAATATGCCTTTATAACTTCTTATCTTCAGTCATTCAACCAGCTAAACCTGGTATGGACAGGACTTAATGATGTTAAGGTCAGTATATTAATTCTTACTAAACTGTAGATCTGATATTGATTCTTTTGTCTTATTTGAATAATACACACACACAAACACACACATATCTTAATTTTCAGTAATACTATTATAAAAGCATTATTTACACATATATGAACAATTATAACAAAATAATGATTAATTTAAATTACTTATTATTTAAAATGTATGAAATATACTGAAGAAAACAATTTAGTAATTTAAGAAAACAGTAATCTTGTTTCTTTTAGGAAGAAGGACATCTCGCATGGACTGATGACTCCCCATATCTTGGAGAATCTGAATTTTCTTCTCTGTCACTGATACCAGAAAATGAAACTGATTGTTATGCTTTCCAGAGAAATCCGTTTGTCCCAGATTATCTCTTTATAGGATTTTTCTGCTATATCTCTTTGCCATATATTTGTGAATATGAATGTAATTATTTTTTCAAGTTTAGATTTTTTAAATTAAAATTTATTCTTTAAAGCAAAAAAAAATTGCTTATTGAGAATTGGCATTTTTAATTTAAAATTTGAGGGTTGTGTTTTTTTTTTTTTTTTTTCAGTATCTTCAGTTCCTGAAAACTTCACATTTAAAATGCAAGATGTCGGTACAAATGAAGCAGCCTTTTTGTGGAACAATTTGAATGGTTGGCTGAATTCAAATTTTCAACTTAACATTAAGTACTATTCTGAACACTCAGAACAGTATTCCAAATTTTTTACTCTAAATTCAACGCGCACAAAAATTTTCAATCTGGACCCAGGTCACTCTTACAAATTTTTATTGTCAGCCCAGACCCCTGAAGGAGACCAAATTAATTTGCATCCTGTTATGACGGTAGAGACAAGTAAGTTACAATAAAATACAAATTGTGTTGTGTGTCATTGTTTAATACACTGCTCAAAAAAATAAAGGGAACATAAGCAGAAGACATCCGAGATCTGAATGAATGAAATAGCCTTATTAAATACTTTGTTCATTACATACAGTAGTTTCGTGTTCCCTTTAGTTGTTTGAGCAGTGTATAAACTACTGTATGTAACGAACAAAGTATTTAATAAGGCTATTTCATTCATTCAGATCTTGGATGTCTTCTGCTTGTGTTCCCTTTATTTTTTTGAGCAGTATATATATGCTCCTTTAAAACAAAAACTTGCTTTGTGTTTAATGTCTTCTGAGTAAACAATCAGATTCAAATTCTGGTATGGCTCAGAACATATGGCAAGTTAATTTTAACCCCTGATGCACTACCACAGTATATAGTAAATATTGTTATAAAAATGGCAATATAGGGGAGGGAATTATTTTTTGATTTCGTGAAATAGTGTTCTCCATTGAGAGTGGAGACAGCAGCCAGCGTGGGTAGTGCCCATCCAATCAGCTAGAAGGACTGAGCCTGCCAATAATTCTTAGTCCCGCCTCTGTTGCCGGGCAGGCCAGCTTTTGGCTCAGTCCTTCAGCGCTGGCTGGTGTGTGGGACTGCTCTCGTGTTAAATTCTCCTTTTTATCTCTTTCGGCTTGAATTCCTTCGGTTTTCTCGACTTGGACTGTTCAACTATTCTTTGGTGATTCGATTTGGACTTATCTGTATTTTCCGGCTGACCTGGACTGTTCTGACTACGAGTTGAAGTTTTGTGAGTAAGGCAAGGCCTCGTTAACATCGGCCTCCCCTGGCCTTGCCAGGGGCCTGGGTTTCTACATTCTCTATCCCCTCAAGGAGACCCTTTAATTAATTTGAGCTTCGAGGGACATTGCTCTTCCCCCAATCTCCTCATTTCTTCGTTTAAAGTCTCTCCTCGCTCCCAGTATCATCGGCAGTTTCGGCGGGCTTTTAATCAGTGGCGCCCGCCATTTTGGACTCAAAAATTCCGCTGTTGGGGGGGGAACGCCAGTTTGCAACCTCCAAGCCTCGTTTCCTGCCGGAACGCTCCATTTGTGGCCGTTTTCTTGTTTCACCTTATTAATTGAGATTACTAGTGGGGGCTTATTTATTCTGCGGAGGAGCCTCGCGCCCCCATCTCTGCGCTACTGCGGCCTGTTACTGCGGCCCTGTTAATCACCTCGTGGCTTTCTCTGCGCAGTTTATTCAGGTTGCTGGCTACACTTTGCTGCTGAGGAGCTTCGCGCCCCCCCCCTTCACTAATACAGAAGCTGTGTTCTGGAGGCCTTCAATTAGCACCCGGTGGAGCTTTACGCCCCCCTCTATATTGCAGCCATTGTTGTCGGGCGCTGACTGCCATTACTGATTGGTGGAGCCTCGCGCCCCCCCCCCACTTGTGTCCTGATTCACAACAATCACAAGACTGTGGCTTTGATTTGTCTGTTGGCTCTCCTCCCCCCCCCACACTTCCAATAGTGGAGTTGCTACGCTCCCAAAAATTTTTTGATCTATCTGGCCTTGGGGGATTATAATTAAGTGACAGTTCTTGAGGCTGCCTCGTGTGGAGTTCCTCTCGCTCCCTCTCATCTATTCAGAGTTGTTCAGTAACAAAAACAGTCTAGTGTGTAGAGGATTTATTCCTACTTTATTTGGCTGCCATGCCTAAGGCCCTTTCTAAGTCTAAGCACGGCCGTAAGGCTAGTGCAGGTGAAGTTGGCCAATCAGACTCCACGTCTGTTACCCAGCATTCTGCTATGCAAGATTCCAGGTCTCACTCCAGAACTTCTCAATCCTCACGCTCTCAACGCAAGTCTTCCACACGTGACGTGTCATCCTCTTCTTCTAAAGTGGAAAAGCGTAGAGACAAAGTTTTGACCAGATTATGTGACAAGGCGTGTGCCCAGTTGCCTCCAGCCTCTCTCCAACCCCCTACCTCTCCTAATCCACCCCCAGTCATGGCTCCTTCGCCTTCTCCTGATCAACTATCTCTGCAAGATTGCCCGGTGTCGATTTCCGATGAAAATTTGTGGGGTCCCAACTCAGTTCCTCAACAACCGGTTCCTGATCCACCTAGAGTCCAGGAGGCACCTTCATCGGATCCGGTTCCTGTCCGCTCCTTGGATCCTTCCATTCTTCCAGACCACCTGCAGCAAATGATCGAGGCGGCGGTTCAAAGGTCCTTGGCCGCCCGTTCGGGCCCCTCTAGTCGACATGGATCGGTGAGAGAAGTTTCTCCCTGCTCGGCGGCTCGCAGTGACGAAGGATGTTCACATTCTATTCGATCCGCTTCTCCTACTTCTTCTCACTACAGTCATCCTTCAGCCTTCATCGACGAAGGAGATCCCGATTCTGACCTCTCGGAGGATGAGAACCTTCCCCCGGATCAGCCGGCTTTCACAGGTCTCTTTCCTCAAGCCTTGTTCAAATCATTACTCTTCAAGGCCGTTAATACGGCCCGCCTATCCTCGCCAAATGCGGATCCGGCGCCCCCTTCGTCTTCCTCTGGATCTTTGGACCCGATGTTTGCTGAACCAACTAGGCCCATAACATCTGTTCCTACTCCTCCTCTCTTTCTGGACGTCGTGAAACGCCAGTGGGAATCTCCTGCTTCTGCTCCCCTTCCTTCGGCTAATGATAAAAGAAATTTTCAAGTATCCTCGGATCTGGAAGCTCTTCTTCAAATTCCTTCGGTAGATGCCCCGGTTGCAGCTCTTCTTCCTAACTCCAATGTTCCGGGCGAACCGGACGAAGGTCTCCGTCCTGACGAACGCAGATCTGATCAAGTTCTTCAAAAGGCATTTCAGAGTTCCTCCTGGGCGATTAAGGCTACTACTACAGCATCCTTCTTTAATCGCACAACGTTGCTTTGGTTGCGGCAGTTACAAGAGAAACTAGCCCCCGGAGACACTCGTATCAAACAAGACCTGAATAAGATCGTAGCCGCCGTACAATTTTCAGCTGACTCTACTCTGAATGCTGCCAGGTTTTCGGCGAAATCTTTGGCTTCGGCGGTCACTGCTAGGCGTTTATTGTATCTCCGTCACTGGCAGGCTGATGCCAGACATAAGTGGTGATTGGCTTCTGTTCCCTTTAAGGGCACGAAGCTTTTCGGGGATGCTTTAGATCCCTTCCTCACAGAGACTAGGGATAAAAAGAAGGTTTTAGCTGCTGTGTTCCGGAGAGGGGCGCCCCGTTTCTCTCCTTACCCTTCTCGTTCTTTTTCCAGAGGTGCGGATGGGGGAATCCTCCTTTTCTTCTACCTTCCCCTCGTTTAGGAGAGATGGGTCTTTTGGCAGGCAGCGGGCTTCTTCCGATAGGTCATTCAGGGGACGTCCCTTTAACTTTAAGCGGCCCTTTCGAGGGGGAGGAGGTCGTTTCGCCCGTCGCCGTCGCTGATTGCCCTTTGGATCCTCCCATTGGCGGTAGGTTGGGTCTTTTTGCCTCTGTCTGGGAAGAATCCACTTCGGACAAGTGGGTCCACGCCACCTTAAGATCCGGCTTGGCTATTGAATTTATTGCCCCCCCCCTCACACCTTTGTCCGCTGTCCGATTTCTCGTAATCCAGTCAAGAAGTCCCTTATGGACTCATCGGTTCAGCATCTCCTGACCATCAGGGCTATCCAACCTGTGCCTCCCGGTCAGGAGGGTTCGGGATTCTATTCAAGGGTGTTTCTAGTCCCTAAGTCATCGGGGGGGTGGCGTCCCATTCTGGACCTCAAATGTTTAAACAGATACGTTGTGTACCGAAAATTCAAAATGCAATCATTAAAATCAATTCTGGACGGTGTTCGGAGGGGCGATCTCCTCTCCTCAATTGACCTAACAGAGGCCTACCTTCATATTCCCATCCTCCCTTCCCATAGACAGTTTTTAAGGTTTTGTTATGACGGGGCTCACTATCAATATAGGGCTCTACCATTTGGCCTTTCTTCGGCCCCCCGCACCTTTACCAAGGTGTTGGCTGCCTTGGCGGCCCAACTCCGTATCCGTTCAGTTCGTCTCCTCTGTTATTTAGATGATATTCTTTTGTTGTCCCCCTCTGTACAGCAAGCTGTTTTAGATATTCGTCTGACGGTTGAGACATTGGCGACTCACGGATTTTCTGTTAATTTGGAAAAGAGCCATCTTTCCCCCTCCACTAGATTAGTGCATTTGGGTGCCCTGATTGACTCTGTTCAGGGTAAAGTTTTTCTTTCTCCCGACAGACAATCTAGTCTGAGGCAGTTGGTTTCCCGGGTTGAGAGGAGTCGGGTGGTTTCCCCCTATGTTTTGTCTCAACTCTTAGGTAAGATGATATCAGCGATAGCTATTGTTCCCTGGTCTCAACTGCACGCCAGGGAACTCCAATGGTTTCTCTTACCCTTGCAGAAGGCCGGCAGAGGCACTTCATCGAAGCCGATCCCTCTCCCTCCTGCTGTACGAAGATCCCTTCGGTGGTGGCGCTCCCCCGCTCTCTCAACAGGTTGCTTCTTCCTCGAGCCCGCGAGAGTGGTGGTGACGACAGATGCCAGTCTCCTGGGCTGGGGAGCTCATTGCCAAGGTCATCTGGCTCAAGGGACTTGGAATCTCTCGGAAGCTCGACATCCCATCAATTGGCTGGAACTGAAGGCTGTCTTCTTGGCTCTAAAGTCGTTCCGCAGTCTGGTCTCCGGAGCTCATGTCCTTGTTCTCACGGACAATGTCGCCGCAAAGGCTCATTTGAACAAACTGGGGGGCACCAGATCGAAGTCTCTTCTGACCCTAGCAGTCGCGTTGGGTATCTGGTCAGAGCGTCACCTGTGTTCCCTTCGGGCGGAACACATCTCCGGGGTTCAGAACGTTCAAGCGGACTGGTTGAGTCGCCGTCAGATAGACAACGCAGAATGGCGCCTCCTCCCGCTCCTCTTCCAGGAGCTGTCCCTCCGCTTCGGCCACCCTGTGATCGACCTGTTTGCGACTCACGAGAACTCCCAACTTCCGCTGTTCTTCTCGCGATACCCTCATCCTCGAGCAGCCGGCGTTGACGCTCTTCGAACTCCATGGCCTTCGGGCCTTCTGTACGCCTTTCCACCGACGGCCCTCCTTCCCAGGGTCATACGCAAGATTCTATCCGAGCGAGCGGAAGTGATCCTTGTGGCTCCTCATTGGCCTCGGAGACCCTGGTTTGCGGACCTAGTGTCCCTATCGGTGACCCCATCGTGGCGCATTCCTCTCTCGGACAATATTCTCTCGCAAGGCGCTCTGACACACCCAGACCCGGCCTGGCTCAATCTAACCGCTTGGAGGTTGAGCGGGGCTCTTTGAGGGAAGTTCAAGTTCCGGCAGATGTTGTGCATACCTTGTTATCCTCCCGACGGCCTTCTACGGAGCGCATTTACTCTGCCACCTGGCGGAGTTTCTACAGCTGGTGTAATCAGGTCGGTGCCTCGCCCTTACAACCGTCTATTATACATATTCTGATGTTTTTGCAGAAGGGCCTCTCCCAAGGCCTCTCCCCCAACACTCTACGCCGACACATTGCAGCTTTATCCTCAGTACTTACCTGCGGATCCTTGCCTTCTCTAGCTCACCACCCTTTGATCCGACGTTTTCTACGGGGAGCTAAAAACTTATGCCCTCCTGTTCTGCATCGCTACCCGACCTGGGATCTTCCTCTGGTCTTGCAATCTCTTACGAGTCCGCCGTACGAGCCACTTCGGACTACCAGTCTCAGACTTCTCACCTGCAAGGTTGCCTTCTTAGTGGCCATCACTTCGGCTCGCCGCATATCCGAGCTCGCCGCTTTGTCTACTCGTTCGGACCTTTGTGTTTTCCACGCAGACCGAGTGGTACTCCGTTTGGACCCGACTTTCGTGCCGAAGGTGAATTCCGTCTTTCATCGGGCTCAGGAGTTGATCCTACCAAATTTCTGCCCCCGGCCTTCTCATCCTCGGGAACGTCGTTGGCACTCCCTGGATGTCCGGCGAGCTCTGCGGATTTATCTAAAGAGGACAGCTCCTTTCCGTCGTTCGGAGTCCCTGTTTGTCTCATTCTTACCTACATCTCAAGGCAGTAAAGTCTCGTCTTCAACTATCGGTCGTTGGATTCGTCAGACGATTGCCTCAGCCTATGACGTCAGATCCCTTCCGCGTCCTTCAGGTTTGACAGCTCACTCCACCCGTAGTGCAGCTACGACGGCAGCTTGGGCTACACAGGCTCCCTTGCTAGAAATTTGTAGGGCAGCCACGTGGACTTCTCCTAGCCCTTTCATCCGGCACTACAAACTCGACCAGTTTGCGTCGGCCGAAGCCTCTTTTGGTCGACGGGTTTTACAACGGGTTGTTGCCGGAGAGGACAATGCGGTCCAGCGTGATCCCCCCCTAATATCGGGACAGTGAACTTGGGTATGTCCCACGCTGGCTGCTGTCTCCACTCTCAATGGAGAAGGATCGTTGGTCTTACCTGATACGTTCCTTCTCGTTGAGTGGAGACAGCAGCCAGACCCCCCCCTTTTTTTCTCTGAGCTGGACTCGGCATGTCTCTGTCTCTCTATCTTGTTTCTTCTTTGTCCCACACACCGAGTCTGTCTTCCAGTCTTCGCCAAAGCTGGCCTGCCCGGCAACAGAGGCGGGACTAAGAATTATTGGCAGGCTCAGTCCTTCTAGCTGATTGGATGGGCACTACCCACGCTGGCTGCTGTCTCCACTCAACGAGAAGGAACGTATCAGGTAAGACCAACGATCCTTTTCAAATCATATATTTAATGAAGCATTTACTATGTACAGTAGCATCTGTACTAAAGATATTTAGCTTACTATCTCAAATGATAAGATTTGAAGTTCTAGTAGGGGTTTGCTGCTGTGTGTGGTGTATGCACACAAACACTTTCTTTGATGTATCAAATCTGAATATGCAAAACCCCGCAAATAGCTTTTGAAACATCTTTGAAGGTCTTGGAAAGATGTGGTTGCTTTAATACCTTAAGAATGGTAATGTGTTTGCCTTAAAATTATTTTCTCACTGGGGTTTTATAGTATCTTATAAGTCTATTTCCTCACGTAATGCCACATTAATGTGCCCATTTGCCTCTTTGATGTGGCAGAAAAGTGTGTTAACCCAAATTGTGTTATCCTTACAGCCTAGAAACAATTGTAACTATTTTTACAATTTCAGAGTGGAGCTCCTCTTTTCCTTTTCTATTCTACCTAGTTTCATCTCCTGGCAGACAATAATAATTGAATTTTCTGTATACTATGGGTAGGGCAGGATGAGGAAACTGGAGTTTCATCCATGAATCCTCCAGTTTCATCCATGAATCCTCCAGTTTCATCCATGAATCTTGTTTCACCAACCTGGTCCTTTTACTTTTTTGCTATAAGATTAATGTTAAACTATAGCTTGCTCAATACAAACTGAGTTGTTCATACATGACTCTCCTCCTTACTTAAGTCTCCTACAAAGTCTACTTCATCTTAAGTCTCCTACAAATAAGCTAACTATGCAGAAATGAAAACTCTTATAGCACTATTGCTATTCCGAGATTGATGTTTTTTGGGGGGGAAATGTTGGGAAAGTAAACGAATGAAATGTCTGAAAGCTGTAGAAGTGTTCTTTTGGGATCTTATCACCTAAGAATATGTTTATTGTCCTTTTGTTATTTTTGCTCCATCTATCCACCGGAAAATTGATTTGATGTCATTCCAATAGAGAAGCTAATGCATTAATGTCAACGCTTCATGAGATCAGTACTCCCTAAAATCAATCTTCTTTTAGACTGATGTTTCATTATGTTTATTTGTTTATTAATCACATTTATATAGTCTCCCATCTCCCCAAAAGTGACTCTGGGTAAAACGCAACCAATATATGGCAGATAAAAATATAAAAAATCCACAGTTTTCAAATGACTGAACTGGCAATGAGTGTATGTATCTTTGAGTGTATGTATCGCTGCTGTAATGCACCAATATCCAAGCAGGTTTGGCATTCCCATACAAAAGAAAGAGGCTATGAAAGCCAGTTTGGTTTCCTTCACAGACAATAGCAATCAAAAATGTAAGTCAGGGCCCAGATGGGAAGGGTTCAGCAGTGGGTTGCTACTGGTTCGCCCTGGATCGGATGAACCGGTAGCAGTGGAGGCGGAAGGCTCTGCCCACCCTCCCGGACGCTTCTGCGCATGTGCAGAAGTGTCACGAGCACGTGTGAGTGCCCACATGCTCACGAGCAAACCAGTAGCAATGGGTTTTGAAACCCGCCCCTGGAAGGGTTACTCCTGGAGCAGACCTATGCTAAACAGATCAGCACCCTGATCACATCATCCCCAGTCTGTAACTAGGGAACTTAAATTTATTTTAGTTTAAGGCTTGAGTCAGAATACTGCTGCTGTTTCTTCTGCAAAATACTGTTTTCTACTTTCTGAAAAAAATCAGGGGACTTTCAGAAATAGGGGAAGACTTCAAATACAAAACCAGCTCCAAATTAGTTGAAGGCAGTTTATATAAATAAATGTCTGCTTGTATAATTTACTTCTGCTTAATTTTCTGCCTCTGCTTTTTATTATTGCATCTTTTATTATTTGCTTATTTGTCCCATTTTTTTACTCTCACCTTAGAACTGTTTTTTCAATTTCCAATCATTAGGACCATTACATCTGCACAATGTAAAGGTAGCAAGAGTAACATCATCAGAGATATTTTTACAGTGGGATTCTCCAGCAAGTTCATTCAATGCAAGTTTCCATCATTACCTAGTGAACATTTTTGATAGCAAAACAATCAAGTGGAAAACTTTTTCATTTGGAAAAACTAACACTTCTGCTGTAATCAGAAATGTCAAATCATATAATCAATATTGGACATATGTTCAAAGTGTTGCTGAAAAGGGAACTCCCAGCTGCTATGAGGATCCTATAGAAATAATAACAGGTAAAGTTAACTATTGGTACTCCTGATAATAATGCCTTGAATGCTAAATGCTGTCTGGTAGGTATAAAATGTCCATATCTGCTTTCATATAAGATATTATTATAAAATTGTATTCTCATTTTAATTTTCAGATAAGCATAGGAGCTTCCGTGTTGCAGAGCAGTGTTCTTATCAGGAAGCTAAACTTTTGAGTAAATTTAGAAAACATTATTTCTTCTTTTAGAGGAACTAAATATACTTTTTGTCCTGATTAAAATTTAAGTTGCTAAAAACACCCTCAAGTGTTTTATAAAATGTATATTTACACATAATAATTTTCTCTTTAAATCTTAGAAACAAGGAATCCGTTTCAAAATACTTTTTGCATAATTAAACCACTGTGTGTTCTTTTCATGACTGTATCTTTCACAACTGAGAAACCAATTTTTAAAAATAGTGTTATGACAAAGAAAGAAATTTTAATGTCCCAGATACAAAGGGATATATTATTTTTGTTGCTTAGGTGTGACGCCACCTATTGGTCTGTTAATCCATCCAGAGGACGTAGGCGAGGACCATGTGATTATCTCTTGGAAACTCCCAGAAGAAGGCCAGGAATCCTATATTCAAGTAAAACCAACTGCATTCAAGGATAAAAGCATGATGTTTTTAATAAACAACACAGAGACATTTAAAATTGAACCATTAATTCCTGGAATGACTTATGATATAGGAGTGGCTACAGTAATATCTGGAAATAAGAGTGATTTGACTACCATTCAGTGTACTCTTAGTAAGATTTATATACATTTCAAACTTATTATTCAGATTTAAATACAACATTGCTCAGGTTATTATTTAGAACTAAAACTAGAGCATTTGTTGTAAAATAAATGCATGAAACAAAAAACAATCTTATTAGTAATTTTTTTTAAAAAGTGTCAAAGGTGATGAAGATTGTAATATTAGTAGATAATGGAATCAGAATTAAAATTAAGTGGATCCAGATATTTAATAAGCAGTTTAATGTATTGCTTTGTCCATAGAATATTGTGAAATTTTGTAGAGCAGAATATAAATGTAATTTTTTGTCAATCCTATTTTAACTTTCCATGTAATATGTGAGATGAAGGACACTATCCTTTATTAGAAAAACAAAACCCTGTGCAATATTTATTATTATAATTGGCAGTTATTTGTAAATAATACGTTGATCATATTTTTCTGTTTATTGCCATTCTAGAACCCAAACCAGTACAGATGGTTATTCCGTATGAAATCCATAGTACTTTCGTGATTTTATTTGTTAAAATACCTGCTATGGGAATAATTGATGGCATTCACATCATAAGTAAAGAAGGCCCAAATGCAACATTTACTTTATTGAATGATGGAAAAATAACTATAGAAAAACTAACTCCAGGAACAGAATATGATTTTTTTGTTTTTACATCTAGCAGACATATGTTAAGTTCTGTACATCAGCTGCCAGCTATAAAAACATGTAAGTTATTTGAATTTAGAGATGATTTAATTTTTTTAAAAAAATAGATAACAGTAGATGCATATTTTGTGCATTCTCATATAACCATATAATTTTTGTTAAAAAAAAATAAAATAGGCAAATAGGCATCACATTTGCACCTGTTTTTGCAAGTTGCTGAACAACACAAAAATTTACTTCTTCAAGATTAGAAGAATATAGTCCAAATCAAGAAGTAGCATACAGAGATGGGCAAATTTATTTTTCTTTCTTCAAATTTATTTATTTATTGTTTATTGTTTATTCAGTACCTGATTTCTGCATTCTTCTGAGAATTTTTTCTTATTTTCTTATTTTTTCCAAAACATTTGCCCCCGAATCTGTAAATATATGCATTTATATATAATTTTCGCCAACATGCACATTTTTGCAAGCATTCTATTATTTATTTGCATACATTATTTTCACTAGCATGCATTGGTGCACATTTTGTCCAAAACAAAAAAAATATATTCATTTCAATTCTAAAGTTATCACCAAATTAGGAAACTGTATATTTCAAAATTCCTAAATTTAACTTTAGGTATTGAGTTCTCTGCTAAACATAATGTAACAGGGAATTATTGGATCCTACCATTCATTCAGGGCACTTTTTGGTGTGTTTGATGAGTATTTTTCATATTGCTTCTTATAGGTCTTGCAGTTCCACTAAATATATATGAAGGCAGAATCACCAATATTTCAATACAGATTATTTGGGATCAGGCAGAAGGAAACTTTCAGCAATATGAAGTCACATGTACAAACTGTGCAGATACTTATAGGGTATGTTGCCAAATAAATTCTTTCAAAAGCAAATCTGAATATTTACTCTTATATTGCTTTTCTTGTTCATTTTTAGTCCAAGTGACAATATATGGAAGCATCTATATGGTAAAGCAAAGACGAGTCAAGCTACATGAATCCTGTAGTGTATTTTGGAAAGGAATGCACGCAAAATGTCATAGGTAGCTGTTAGCTACTTATCTCATAAAACTACCAAGTGATTACTATATAGAAAAGCCTGAAAAAAGGATGCATGATCCTAGGGACACATAGCCACTAATCACAAATATGGAAATATCTGGAGAGTGAGACAGGCAGCATATACATTTAATAAATAAAATAAAGAATACATTTTTTAAAATCTTGAGCTACAGGTCCAAAAGGTGATACAAGAAGTGGCAGAATTTTCCAACTTGATTCCTGGCTTCTTATATAGCTTTATGGTTAAAACAGAAAAAGAAGGATACAAGGACAGCCCTCCTGTAAGCATACAAATAGAAACAGGTATGACAATGTAATTTTTCTGTTAGTTGTAACATTTATGATTGTTTCAAGCATAACAAAGATCTAATACAGAAACAGTTGCTTCTTTACCACACTGTAGAATGCTAACCCTTGAGAAAATAATACCTGCTGGATCAGTTCTAAGCCTAACTATTTGGCGGTCTATCTCATACACCAGATATATCTAGGAAGTTCACTAACAAGAAGTCAAAGCAACCTTCCTCTTCTACCATTATGGCTTTCAGATGGTCAGAAGACCTTTAGTCATAAGCTTCTATTTTAACATACTTGATTGTGCAACTTGTTTTTCTTTTCTCATTATACATCACTTACTTGTATACTAAGGTATAAATCCAACTGCCTTTTTCTGCCTTTTCATCTTGTGAATTTTCATATTTATAATAAATTACTCTTAATTACATTGAGCAACATGCATTATTATAAACTTCAAAGGAAGTACAGTATATTGATTACAAGAATTCCAATGCATATCTACTGTAAGTCCTATTGAATTCAACAGGGAATATTTCTAGATAGGTGTCTTGGATTACTAATCTAAGATTTTCATCCAACCTTACATTATTGGTTTCCAGCATTTCCTATGGTGGGAGAGCATCCTCCATGACATTTCAAACAGTTCCAGGGGGGATGCTTAAGCTTCTAAAGCATATTTGTGAGATGTCAGGGAAAGCCCAGAATCCAGAAGGGACAATTTCTGGACTGCTGTAGTGCTGGTAATGCCTATTTTACCGATGGACAAATAGCTGATAAAACCCAATTTAATTTTCTCAGAATAGAAAAAAGTATATTGACTTTCTTAATTAACTTAATACATAAAAATATGTAAGTATTTTCTTAAACTTAGTACATGAATTAATATGCTGATAGAAGCAATGCCTTTTTATTTCAGGTAGAAAGGAACCCTTACTGGTTACTGTATCAATACAATATAAGCAATTTCTGATTCATCTCGATGCAATACATAAAACTTCTCCCAATGTGGATATCAAAGTTTTACTGACTGATAGTGAGAGGCACTGTAAAGATTGAGTCACTTAGACAATGAGATGGGCAGTGCCTACATTTGATAAACAAATATTGAAGAATTATGTCTCAAAACCTAGACATAAAACTATGAAAAAGCATATCATAGTTCAGAAGAATTAGTTTGAACTTTAGCAGTTATTCATCTATCAAAGAGTCATTTCAATAACTAATGTAGAAATATCCAAGAAATAGATAACAGTTAAAGTCACAAAAATTGGACAACTGGGTTATACCATAAAAAGAACTATAACAATGTTAGATTGGCTGAGCTAACACAATACTTAACTTCAAAATATAGATGCTACCTAAGGCATTAATAACATTTGTGTTTCTTGAATGGAAATTTGTTTATTTAAAACATTTATATAGCCAGTCATCTTATATTGAACTCTGTTGTAATCAAATTTTAAAAATTGATCTATAGGTTTATATGAACTGATCATTTTACTCTTCCCTTTCATTAATAGAGCCCAGCTCAGTTAAATATATGAATTTGAGTAAAAATTCTGGATCAATAACTATTACCTGGCCACCAGCATTTGGTATAGTTGATGGATATATTACTACTTTGGTTGGCAAAAACTATAGCAAGGAAGAAAGATTATCATCAGATAAAAGGTACCTTTTGAAGACAACATGACTGTGGCTGAGTCAATACACATTACTACTGTTCATCCTCTTCTTTTTCTTTCTACCTTTTCCAGCATTTGAAGATGATGTACTATATTGATGTTGTATATGGGTGGAGCCAAACAGTTCTGCCTTTTCTGATTGACAGAAATCAATCAGAATTTTGTAAATCAATGGGAATTTTGTAAATGTGCATATTTTCTAAGTACCATTTTAAGATTTTTTTGTATGACACCCAGTGTGCCTGTAAACACTGGGACTATAGCTGGTTTATGCCATAATCATTCAATTTTGATTTTCACAATCTGATACTTTGTGACCTTCTCCAATTCTTTATCTTCTATTCTACTATCACCTGGTATTGCCACCTTAATTATTCCACTCTTTCATCAGTTTAAATCTGAGGTGTTATGGTCCAAGACTTTATCAGTTTGTATTCAGAAATTTCACAATCTTTTAGTCTGGTTTGTCACATGATAATTTTTACAGATATTCCAGTGAATCATTTTTGCAACTGTGTTATGTCATTGTTTATAATCAGCTTGTGCAATCTTTTTGCATGAGTTGAGTATATGATAAACTGTTTTTTCTGTCTCTTTGCATACCCTGCAATTTGAATCATTTGACAATTTTTCAGTTTTGGTTTTGATTGCTTTAGTTTGAGTAGCTTGCTTTGAGAAGTCAAAATCAAACCTTCAGTTACTTTTTTAAATGTTCCATTTGTAAGCCATTGCCAGGTTTTGCCTTTATCCACTTCCCCATATATCTTTTGTAGAAATTAACCATGTTATGCTTTTCCTTGCCAGAATTCTGTTCAGGCTTTTATTACATTATTTCAATTTTCACGTTTTGTTTCCTTCACATTCAGTAAGTTTCAATTTTTAAGTATATCAATGCTTGTTCTTGGCTGTCTTTTATGTAATATAATACATGCAACTCTTCTTCAATAGTTTGTTTGATTTACAGTAAACCTCTGGCTACATTTCTGAAAGGCAGGAATAATCTATCAATATCGCTACAGAGATTTAATGCATAGTGAATAGTCATTAGCTTTCTTGGTTTTTTTCTTACTCAAACTGTGCAGTTAATTATTTCAGCAATGTATCATATTTTTAATTTGTCCCTGTTTGATGTCATCCAACTTTAAAATGCTTCATCCTAATATCAATAATAATGTTATTTTCCTTAATTGTAGAAAGTTCATATTTGATGGCCTTTCCTCAGGAACAGAATACTTTGTTCAAATTGTGACTACTAACAGGTTGAAGAACAGTTTCCCTACTTTTCTGAGAGTTACAACTGGTAAGTTAATTATATGCCTTATAAATACAAATCTTAAGCTATGTTTTACAGAGTTACCTGAGGGCATAGTCACATTGTAAAATCCATATACAGTACGAATCTCAAACCCAGATACTCCTTGATTATACAAATAATCTAGTCACAAACTATTTTATTTTGTTCCACTCATTGTTTTATCAAAAGTAATGTAGTGATTTTAATCAAAATATCTATTTAACCACAACAAAAGTTACTCTTATTTCAGAGCAGAGGTAATGACTGGAAAGCAATTATTGCATAGATGAAGAGGCATGTAGCTTTCCATTCATGCTAATCATTAATTTGCACTGCTTGAACAATTGATTTTGGGCCATCAACATATTTAATAATGTTTTGATCTTATATTGTTTCTTTAAAAAAATTTGAGCCAATCTGGTATTTCTTAGTACACTGTATCCCCAATTAAAATTCCAGTGTTCGTTATATTTCAGGATTGAAAAGACAACATTTTTGTATTGTTGCCTTTTTGATGTTCTCTGATATTGTTTCTTTTCTGGCAGATGTTTAACTACCAAGCTAGGTAAGATCATCAGTGCATGGAGGAGTGGAGTTTGCTAGCTGTTTATATGTGGTAGCTTTTCTTACTAGCCTTGATTGGGGGATTGTTTTGTTTTATTGTATTGCATTTTCAGTGTATTGTTTCTTCCTTGATTGTTATTTTTTTGTCTGGTACTGGTTCCTTCTTGTCTGGGTATTGATTAACAGATGTGTGATGAAATTGAATTATATCTTGATCTAAGATGTCTCCAGTTTTCCAACTGAACGTGCGACTGAATTTATCAGTGTGTTGTGAAATTAAGGGATTTTCATCATGCCTTCTGCCTGCCAGCTGATGTTCATGGATGTTTTCTCTTAATAGTCTCTCTGGTTGCTTCACATACTGGTTTTGTGTTTTTTTTTAGTTCTTGTAATACACACTATAAATGACTCCTGTGTCTTCGGTTTGTTTAGGATTCTTTGGATACTTTTGTTATCATGATGCCCAGGGGTTATAATATGGTACCGTGTTTTCCCAAAAATAAGACATCCCCTGATAATAAGCCCAATTGGGTTTTTGAGCGCATGCGCTAAAATAAGCCTCCCCCCCCCGAAAATAAGCCGTCCCCGAAAATATTTAAACACTGAGCTGGAAATCAGGTAAGATGGCAAGAGGAGCCCCATCTTGCTCCATGTACCCAAAATAATAAGACCTCCCCAAAAATAAGGCCAAGCACTTATTTCGGGGTTCCAAAAATATAAGACAGGGTCTTATTTTCGGGGAAACACGGCATAGTTACTGTTTTCATGGATAGAAATCTCATTTGAATTATTTTTACTTCATTGATATCTACATTTGCCTATTTAATTCTATTTCAGACCCAGATCCACCTTTAGCTTTACATGCCTTGGGAATAGAAGAGAATACAGTTTACTTGTTTTGGGAACTGCCTAATGGAGGTTTTGATAATTTTGAGGTAACAAAAATAGAATGGAAAAAATTATGACTGATTTATCATTAAAGATGTTTGCTTTTTCAGTAGTATATGCTGAAAGCAACCCCATGTGTTACACAGTTCGGCAAAATAGAATATAGACAGTTGTTCTAAGTGGGGACATGGGAAAAATTGTAAATGGAATTTTTTTTAAAAGCCTCTATTAAAAAACATTTCTTCAAATTATAGCTTTAGTGACTTTATTTATAAAACCATGCAACTATATTTAACAGAATTGTAGGATTTCTAATTGTTTTGTTCATTTGACTTAGCTAAACCTGAAAAATACCCATTACAAATTTATTTTGTTGTTCATCTTAGAACAATTCAGAAACAAATATTTGTAATGTATCTGCGTATGTATGTATTTTTGCCAATGTTTTTAAATGGTACTCTGAAAGGATGTTTTAATACTTTATTGAAAAAAACCACCATTTCATATTAATCCCAGTGATGTCATATTATTGCATGACATATTACAGAGCAAGAAACCATGCAAGAGAGTAATTC